TAGCAGCACAATTTGTAATAGCTCGATACTGGAAACAACTCAAATGCCCATCAGCCAAGAAATGGATACAAAAGATGTGGTCTTTTTATACAATGGAGTGCTACTCAGCTATAAAGGATAAACCTGATACTTTTATAGGCAAATGGATGCAACTCGAGACCATACTTATAAACGAAATAAACTAGACGCACATGTGTCAGCACTGTATCGTCTCCCTAGTGTGAGAAGCTGAAAGAGGAAATAAGATCCAAAAAGTACAATAGTTATTGTTGGGCTGGTGATATAGCTCAGTGGCACAAGCGCTTGCCTGGCAAGCACAAGGTCCTGAGTTCAATTCCTGGCACCAAAAAAACAACAAAAAAAGAGTTACTGTGAAATGGGAAGAAACTTCAAAAGGAGAGAGAGACTGGGATGGGGGAACATAGAAAAGAAGGAAGGAAAAAGACAAAAATATATATATATATATATTAATATAGTTAAGATATTTATACTACTAATTTCTCTTGGTTCACTGAAGAGAGGTTTGTGCTAGTATGGTCTGGACAATTAAATGCAGATATCTTATACTCTGAGTAACTAAAATTTAAAGATAACAATATGCAGTGTACTAGCCATTGTTACTCTATTATCTTGTTTTGAAAATTCTTTTTCTCTTTAGAAAAAGGGCAGGGTAGGATTTTGAGGGAGATTAGTGGCAATGTGTCCTGTAATACATTTTCAATTTCAAATAGTCACCTTATTTTTTATCGCACCTCCTTGTTCAGAACAAGTGTGTTTGGGAGATCATAAGAACCCGCTACAGCAAAGGCTGTCAGCAGCTCCTGCCTCTTCCTACCCGTCTGGTCATGGATGATAACTACAAGTGAGCCAGGACTAGAAGGAGAAACTATACCGTGGGTAAATCCTCCATGGCCCCCTCAGAGGTTATCTTAACTTCTACCCGTGAGCCCGGGCACCTGGGGGCCAGGCAGAGAGGGCAGGATGCTGTGGTGGGCATGGCCTGCAGGAAGCAGCTCACCTCCAAATGCAGGAGGTGCCATGCTCCATCCCGAGCTCCCCTTGAGCCTGGAGCATGTTATAGGCCCCGCACCCCTCCATGATGACTTGAGGGTCTCCGAGCGTGGGAATTACCCCCTGATCATTCATCAGGAGCTACAGGATTATTGTGGCGTGTGCTGAGAACTTTTCTCAAGGAAGGCACTTGGTCCTCCCATACACAGGGCAGCTGTTCCAGCAGATTGTTTCTTATAAGTTATTTCTCAGAATAGAAAAAGAAAGATTTCTTGTAGTGGAGCAGGGGCTTCCTGGAGGAGGGCAGGGACTGTGGGCCCAAATTCACCAAGTAATCAGGGTGAGCGGTGGCAGCGGTCCTGAGTCTCGGGTAGATGGTGTTTTCACCCACCTTGGATCGGTGCTAGCTGAGGCCCAGCGGCCCTCCCACACTGAGGGGATGCTGTCCTGTGGTACTGCAGATGGAATCCAGGGCCTCGCCCCTGCTAGGCAAGTGCTCTGCTCCCGAGCTTCGAGCCCCACCAAAAGGAACATCTCATTCTTCCTGGATGGCAGGAAGCCTTCCTGGAGATGGAAGCAGCACAGCTAGCTGGGCCTCATGGCCAGAAGACAGCTGGCCAGGTGAGTGACGGTGAAGGAGCAAGGCTCCCACACAGCAGAGAAAAGTGAGTCCTTCAGAGAACCCAGCACTACCCAGCATGGCCAGCCCAACAGACAGGCGAGGGGCCACGGCCAGGGGAAGCAGCTCCCTGGGTCCTCTTTATGTCCCCGAGATAGCGGATGGATTCTAGGCTGATGTAACCCATAACTGGACATATGTACTTTAGGACATGGTGCTCAGCAATGCAGAGGGTGGTCTAAGGGGGCAGATCAGAGCCACAGGGACAACTTCAAGCCATGGCAGAAGGCTGGGCCAATGGCTGCAGAGATGAAAGAATTATGCTACTGAACCATATTCGTTAGGGAATGGACTGCATTTTATAGAGCTAAATTTGTGCTTAGCTGTTTGCCAAAGGTGAAGGGTGCCCCTTTTATGCTGGGCTCCCATACCCCAATCTACAGCCTCTTCTGTGAAATGGGGAAAAGCCCAACATATCCTCTAGGAAATATTGATAGGGATGAAAAAAGAAATTCATTCCAAGATCTCATAAGAATGCTCAGGCAAACCAGGCCTGGTGGCGCATGCCTGTAATCCCAGCACTCTGGCTGGCTGCGGCAGAAGTATCACAAGTTCAAGCTTAAACTAGGCAACTTAGTGAGACCCCGTCTAAAAAATAAAACATGGGGTGGGGATGTAGGTCTGTGCAAAGGCCCTGGGTTCAATCTCCAGCACCACAAAAACAAAACAAAACAAAACTCATATAAATTGAAACACTGCACACATGTAGTACAGAAAACATTTTTTTTTTTTAGTTTCAATTTTTCATGGTCTTTTAGAATAGGCTGCCAACGTGTTTCTCTTCTTTGCTGAATTTTCTGGAATACCAAAAATGTTAGACTTGATATCAAAAATTATGTACAAAACCAATGATTTGCTTTTTACAAGAGACCAGTGCAAATTTAGGTCTTCCTGCTTTTTAGATTCCAGGTAAGGATATCTTCACACTGAAAAGGCAGGCCTTGGAAATTAGTCAGGTGAACTGTTTTGTTGTAGAACCGAGGACCCCAGGCCCCACAGCCCTGACAGGCCCATGTCTGAGGCCAGTGTGACAGGCAGACCTGGGACCCTTTCCCAGAAGTCTTCACACGAAACTATGCTGTTACAGGAAACGGATATTACAGAAATGGTTTCTGTTCATCAAATGATCACGTTGAAAGAGTCAAAATGAAAGTGACTCAAACACGGTCCCCCTTGACCGTTCACCCGCCCCACCGTATTTGTGGATGTGCCTCGCACGGTAGCGTTTACTTGTGATTGCGAAATCAACACCGGTGGCGTCCCCACACTCAAGTGGTCCCCAGTTGAGTGTTCTGATGCGCACGCTCCAGGCGGCCCATGGAGACCTCACTCTGCTGCGTCCTTCCCTTCCTCTGGTTATCTAGCCGCCAAGCACTTCACACTTCTGTGCTTTCTGCGGGGATGTCTCCACCTCACGTGGCCCCCGAGCCAGTGCTGCGGTGCCGTCTGGCTATCTTAAGTGTGAGAAGGCTGATAAGCGCCTTCTGGAGAAATGTGATGCATAAGCTTCGGTCAGGGATGAGCGACAGGGCTGCAGGCCTTGAGCGCAATGTTAGTGGATCAACAGTGTGTGTCACAGAAGGCGTCTTTAAACAGAGACACGCAAACCACAGTGACGCCGAGCACTTGACACAAACGTGAGCAGGGGCTCTCTGGCACGTCCCTTGTGTCTCCGTTGCAGCGGCAGTTCAGTATCTAACTCCAAGTTCAAGGGACCCTCAGAGATCCTAAGGCCCAGGAACAGTGCAAATGGACCGTCCCCACATGGACTCCCTCCTGCTACAGGCAGACGCCACCTCAGCTTCCCCGGCATTATTTCAGGGATGCTTGCTGTGGAAAATGGGAGCAGGGGTCAATCGCTTCCTTCTGAGAAAACCTAATAAAGATGCCCTCTCCGTTTGCTGGCCCTCCCTCGTTCTGTTTTAGCTCCTCTTTACCTCTGGCACAACGTGAATCTCTCCAGGGAACCACAGTGTGCCAGGTCTCCCAAGATCGGCGCCTGTCCCTGAAGGTCCCATCACTCTTCTGCCAGCCAGAAACCCGGGGTTCAACTCTTGCTTCTTCTATTCCATCCTCTCCCTGAACTCTTTCCTTTCTATTCAAGGCCCTCCGGATACTGCTTCCTGAGCATTTCTCAGGCCCATCCCCTTCTCCCCATAATCCTCCTAGTGATCTCCCCAGTTACATACATCCACATCACATCCGCCCCTGGAAAGCGGGGTGGCTGGAGGGACGGGCGGACACTGGAAAGCTTTCGGTTCCCCATGTGTACGAACAGAGAGCCCAGGCAGCGTCACACGCTGACGCCACCCGCCTTGCACACGATGGGGCCGAGGGCAGAGCAGAGAAGGCACACACGGATCTTCCTGCCTGCCTGCTACCCGCCTTCCAGGTCATTGCGGTGCCTCCGCCAGCACTACCCGCCGCTGTGACATCTGCTTTGGAGAAAGGTTAAGAATGCAAGTGAAACAGACGAGACACAGAAGCTAACCTCTTATGATTTCTCTTATATAAGAAGCCCAAAGTACAAATAAAAAGGAAAATAAAACGTGATGGGGGTGGCAGGTAAGAGAAGAGAAGGAAATGCAAAGGATTGAGATTTTATATATACATATCTCAGGTCCCCGCGGTAAAGGTGCTTATCACATACCAGGCATGTACTAAAACAGTGAAATAAAATAAAGAAGGCCTTACCGGGTAACCGGATGGGCCTCCAGGGCGCAGAGTTAGGCACGTAGGCATGCTTTGTGGTGGTGACAATCAACTGACTGCCCAGCTTATACTGGAACTTGATGAAGGCGATGCCATCTGCGCCCGACGTCCCCGAGGCGATGGAGACCTGGTTGGCAAAGACCTCGATGAGCGCATCCGGGATGGGCTGGTGGGTGCTGGAGTCACTGACGTGCACCTTCAGAGTCACCTCTGCAGAGAGGACAGCGTGTCAGTCGGTAGCAGCAGCAGCACCCTGTGGTCCTCTCCGGTGGGCCGCAGGCAGACGCGCTAAGGGAGTCCAGGTCTGCACCCTCAGTACGGGGGGCTGTGATGGGGCATTTTCTCCTTAAAGGCCCCCTTTACCTCGCATGCCAGAACCACTGCCCACCCCAAGCTTCGCCCTTCTTTACCCCTTCCCACTCACTCCAGCAAGAACTGAGGGACGAATGCTGTCCCTTGCACACACCGGGCAACGAATGCCACACTCCTTCCTCCTCTGAGCTGCTGGCCAAGAGCCTAGACCCGGCTTGACCAGGACAGAAGAGACACGATGGCCACAGGTTCACAGCTACCATATGTGCCAGTCCTGTGAGCTACGGACAGCAGCAACCAGGGGCGTTGTGCCGGGCATCATGAGGACTGGACTGAATAGCAGTGAAAAGTCTTTTGTTAACATGATTTTATGAGTGCATGTGAATCTAACTGCAGTGTGGCCTTTTCTTTGTCTTTTTGAGACAGTGTCTCGCTGTGCAGTTCAGGGTGGCCTTGAGCTCACTTTGTGGCCCAGGCTGGTCTCGAACTCGCAACGATCCTCCTGCCTCAGCCTCCTGAGTGCTGGGATTACAGGCGTGCGCCACCATGCCCTGCCAGTGTGGCATTTTCATACCTGCAGATGCCACAGTATTCCCCATGGCCCACCCCTCCCCCATTCCCTTCCTCTTGGATTTAACAGTCTCCCGTCTACTTTTATGCCAGCTTTTAAGATTCCCACATACTAGAGAAAAGAGGTGATACTGAGTTGCACATGATGATCTCCAGGCCCGTTTTCCTGTAAATGACATAATTCTGTTCTTCTTTATGGCTGAAAAATACTCCTGCATACAGACACGGTACTGCATTTTCTTTACCCATCTGCCTGTTGAGGCCTTGGCTGGTTCTGTATCCCAGTTATTGTGAACTGCACCGCCACAAATTTGGGCGTGCAGCTACCCTAACAGTATGCTGACTTACTTCCTTTGGGCCCGTATCAGGGGTGGTGTAGCTAGGTCATGCAGTAATTCTACCTTTAGCGTTTTGAGGAACCTGTGTACTGATTTCAATAGTGGCTATATATAGTTACATTCAAAAATATCTTTCAGGACTGCTGTGGTGGTGTATATAATCCCAGAACTCTGGAAGGCTGAAGCAGGAAGATTGCAAGTTCAAGCCCAGTCTATGCATTTTAGCAACTCAGCTAAATTAAAAAAAAAAAAGTAAAATGGATAAAGGATGTAGCCCAGCACAAAGGCCCCAAATTCAATTCCCTGTACTGCTCAGAAGTTTAAATAAAAGACCCAAAGATGGGGATAAGAGAACGTGAGAAGAAAAATAAAAATAAAAAGTAAACATTTCAAAAGGGAGATGGACCGCATTAGAAGGACAGGCTGGAGAAAGGGCAAGTCTAGAGACGGCAGCTTTGGGTCCAAGGCCTCCGTGACACTCCAGGAAAGAGACGATGGTGGCCCAGAGCGAGCCTCACCAACAGGACCCACGAAAGGAGGGTAATTCCAGAACTAGACGGCACCAAGGCAGGCATGTCTCCTGCTCCAATAAACCCTTCTGCTTGGGGAGGACGCGGGGAGATGGAGAGGACCCATAGCACAAACACACCCGCCACCCACAGGCGCCCCCGGTGATCTGAACGCCTGACTGTGACCTGGGATGGGAGACAGGCAAGGGCCCAGGACGAGGGACAAGTGTCAGGCTGGCCTCCAGGTACGCCCAGCGGCACACTCCTGCAGGCCTGCTGCAGTCAGCACTCTAGCTTTGAAGCTCAGCTCCGCCAAGGACTAGCCGTGCAGCACTGGACGGGTTACTTTGTCTCCAGCTCTCTGCTTCCCACCTGTGAACTAGGACTGCTACGGGAGCCTCCATTTACAGGCGGGGACCATAGCACAGCGCTCGCAGAGGAAGCATCAGGGCCTGTCACGGCTGTCACGCCGTTCCCATCGCTCTGCCCACAGCGTGCTGCAGGGTGACGGGCACAGCTCAGAGAGAGAATGCAGAAAGGAGGACGGTGTAGACAACCAGGAGCAATGAGAAATCTTTCTCCGGGAGTGTGATACCTTTCTACCCACCGTGACAGGGCTGGGGATGTAGCTCAGCAGTATAGCGCATGCTCATAAACAGAAGGCACTGGATTCAATCTCCAGCACCGAAGACGAGTGAATGAAGAACTTCTGTGCTAAACTGGCGTAACCACATACAGTAGAATGGGGGGGGTCTACTTTAATAACTTGCTAACCATTTGTCTCATATGAAAACTTTTTTAATGCTGCACATTTCAGATCGTCAATCATTTCTTCAGTTTTTCTTCCCACAAACTGATATAAAAATTTTTCAATAGGTGACCTCAGATAATAGCTGACGAATCTCAGACCTAGGTACTATTGACGTACACCAGATAAAACCCTCAAAACCTTTTAGACAGAAAAACATGCTACAGAAATTGAACTTATTACTTTGTATGACAGAAGAAAACTAGCGCAAAAAGTTAGAAGGATAAAAATCTACACCATGAGAATGAAGGGTGATATCGCGCATTATATCTAGCCTGTTCTGCAATCTCGTGTTACCTTCCTGCAGACCGAATGGACGCACAGTACAGTTCCCATTTAATGTGGTCCTCCTTGTCCCCAGGAAGTATGAGGAATCATAACACAAGTAATTCAGTTTTCATTAATATTCACACGGCAAAACCCTCTGGAAGAGGGCAAGTGGGAAGGGTTTTGCAGGCCTACACTGCTGACTTGTGTGGTTTTATGGTAATGTAACATTTACTGACAATTAGAATTACAAGATCTCCACTCCTTACTGTTGCTGAGAGGCATAAATCACAGAAATTTGCAAAGAAGGATTTAGGAATAAATAGAGAAAGAGGGCGTCCACCCTAAGGAACATCCTAGAGTCAATCACTTGATTTTCCTCCGATACGCAAAATCTAGTTTCTGTTCTACAATGATATACTTTGGAAAAAAGAGTACATGTCACTGCTTTGGGTGGGACAGGCCAAGGAAAAATGTCACCATGGCCGGGCAATTCTTGCAGACTTCTGGAGTGTCATTTCTATAGAATGACACATTCAACAGTAAACAAAACTATTCCTACAGACAGCTAGAGGAGAAATCTTCTGACCAGGTGAGACGCTGTTTATTAACACCACTTTCCTTTTTTGGATAAAAGGAAGCCCCTGTAAGCAGTCCGGGAAGAGGCAGGGTGTTTCTTTGGTGGTCTGGGAGAGATCTGGGATCCCACTGAGCAGGGCACTTGTTTACTAAACAGAAACCAGGACATCATTCTTTCACTCCTCACCCTGCACATCCATCTCCAAGTTGTACGGAGCTGATTCCAAAACACACATCTCACAGCGGCCTTTGTTCTGCGTCCTGGCTAACACTGCCGTGTTTCTGTCCCTCACAATCTATCACTAGACGGCTGCTCAGCCTTGTCACAAAAGCTGCCCTCACCTTCAGACCTTGGCCTTGAAGCCCCGTGGAAGCTGGAAGGTGCTATCTACAACACCAAGCTGACAGTGGACCCTAGCCCCCCACAACACGCAGCTGTAGCAGGGGTCAGCAACCACAGTCCAACCCTGCGACACATGTTCAAAAACAGTGCTTGTCTGTATGATCCATAAGAAAAGAATGATTTTTACACTTTCAAGTGACTGTAAGAAAAAAAGTCAAAATAGTATTCTGTGTCACATTAGTGTGTAAAAAATAAAAATAAATAAAATAACATGTAATTCAAATTTCAGAGTTGACGAAGATTTATTAGAACACAGCCTAAGTATTCCCAGGTCTCCTTTTTATTTCTTATTCACTATTTTTGAAATAAATCCCATCAAAATCCCTTTCAAAGAAGTATTAATTCAGATAACAATGAATTGCAGCTAGAGAATATTTATTAATCAGCTACTTTCTGCTTAGCATGATACTAGTACTATGGGAAATTAAAAGATGAAAAAACATGGATCCCATTTTTAGGTTTTTCCAATAGGTAGGACTGAACCAAGGGTAGGCCTTGCCCATACTAGACAAGTGCCCTACTGCTGAGCTACATCCCGAGCCCTTTTCAATTTTTGAGATGGGGGTCTCACTAAATTTCTCACGCTGGCCTTGAATTTGTGATCCGCCTGCCTCAGCCTCCTGGATAGCTGGGATTATGGGTGTGCCACCATGCCCAGTTTATAGTTCCTGCTTTTAAAGAGTTTACAGTTTTTGAAGAGGGAAGAGGGAAAACCAACCCACGAGCTAGAGAGCAGAAAAAGACAAAACTGGGTAGGAGAGCGTAAAAAATATAGTGAGGAAGATGAGTGCACATTAGAGTTTATATATATGTATATATATATATACATATATATATATATATATTTTTTTTTTGTTTGTTTGTTTGTTTTCTTCTGGTACTGGGAATCAAACTCACAACCTCGTGCTCTCCAGGCAGGCTCTGTGCTGCTGAGCTAAATCCCCAGCCCCGCATTAGAGTTTATAAACCAACCAAAGAGAAACAAAAAATGACCTAAAAGCGTCCATGGAGGGACTGAATGGATGACAAGACTCACAAAGGGCTGCGGCAAGACCACTAGACCATGAGTCTAGTCCAGTGAAGGCAGACCTTCTAGGGAACAAAACCCACTTACTTATGGCAAGGTGCCAATACGGCAATTAAAACCGCATCCCGAGGTTTTCATTCAGAACAACAACTCCTACATTAACATCTCTTGTCTTAAAAGAAAAACAAGTAACACATGTGCCGTAGGTTCGCCACCACAGGTCCAGGCGTTTGTGTGGGGAATGTTTCCTAGAAGAGACTGCCATGAGGCTGAGACGCAAGCAGTGGACAGCATGGGTATTTGGGCCCTGAAGGAGAACTGGGCATCTTTCAAGCAGCCTCCAGGGCGTCCAGGGCATCCTCCCCTGGTGGGTGACCCCATTAGTTCCAGAGCCTGT